ACCGCAAAATTACGGTACGCTGTAACTTATGGCGTTACGGTGACATATATATAATAATAGATATTATTAACATCTAGCCATGTAATCCGTCGATTGGTGACAAAACTACGTCATCCACGAATGTTTATGAAAGAGAGTCTACAAAAAATGTTTCCTATCATGAACGTCGTCATCAGCATCTCATTAGTCTTACCTGAACCGCTGGTCCCGAATTCCCCCAAGCAAACGCCCATGCACTTCGCGACAATTTGAACTCCTTGTAGAATTTCTTCGCATCTCGAATGTATTTTTTGTCACTGGTAGCGAAATATAACCAGGCTGCAGCCCAGGTGAGTTTGCAGCCATATTGTTTAGTCCTGTGTGGAAACATAAAATTTCACTAAACTTACATGGATTCTCGTTGTTGTTTTTTTTTCTACAGGGTATACAGAATACGGCTCTTACCATTTATCTGGGTTATTGCAATAATATATATTATAGTTTCCAATCAGATGCTACATTTCACTTTATTTAAATTTTAGATATATCGAACGCTATAATGACTCAACCTTTCAATTTCAAACTCAAGATACTGTCATTAATGAACGTTTTCGTGTTCACCGCAGCTCCAGATATATAAAAATAAAATTTGTTGGATTGTTTCAATTTTATCAGACAACCCCTTTCCGATTTAATTCTAAATAACAAAACCGTAGTTTAACTTTGCTCTTACAAATGCAGTGTACGGTACTATGAGGGCGCTTATAAGTTTAGTCACCTTATGGCGAGGCGAGTTTGCCGACTTGCATGTTCGAATCTAGAATTTCATGTTTATATCTTCATATACCGGGTATGTGCTTAATAATTAACCGTATAATGGTCTTTCCCAATTGTATACAATTGTATAGGCCAAAACAGAATAATACGATACAGACTGAATGTGTGAGTGGTTTATCTTCTATTAATAAGTAATATGAAATTGAAAACTCTTTCAACTATTGAAGACTTGGTAAGTAATGCATTCGGAAAGCCATGCACGTATTTTCTCACTTCCCGGCTGCCATACTACGATGTGTTTAGTTAGGAATAAGTAAATCATTATGAAACTACACTTACTGGTAATGTCCTTTGCTTGGGTAGATTCCGCGGTATGTAGATGCAAAGTCATATAACTCTTTTGCATTCTGCAGCAGTAAAGCAGCGTATGGTTTATCTGCAATAAAACAGGCCACATGTCTAATTCCGATACTTAAAGCGGGGGGAGTAGTCACCTGCGCATGCGTCAGATGGCCATATCGTGTCATTGTTTACAAACAAGCATGAGCCTTTGCGTTTTAGCGTGTGTTGTTATCGTCGCTTGAGACTCAATTCCCGCGCGTTCACAGGTGACGACCATCCCGCTTTAAACCTCAACATAGTATTTCACATAATTGAAATTCATCAAAGGGTTTTGAATGGTCAAAGCGATGTCGTGCAAATCATATTACGTCGGAACTTAGAATGACCACGTGACCACGCTTGATTTTGAAACTCGCAATTACATTGATAATTGGTACTTACTAGCGTCCTTGAAAGCAATGGCCGTCGCAGATAATGCTGCGACTGTTTCCCCGACGACATCAGAACCGGGTAGACTGGGTGTTACTTTGAACGACGGGCGTTCAATGTCCATCTCTTCAGCACGCCCCCAACGTTTGTGGTCTTCGGCCCCATCGCCAACCTATGATAAATCGTCCCAAAATACAATAATTAGAAATAAATGAAATAATAGCAAATGTTTCACCAATGATACTGTTAAAAATATATGGTCGCAACTCGTCAGCTGAGCGACAGTCACTAAATAAATGAACCGTCACATGCGCCTTGTGCCATGCGTTTGAATTTCGTATAAAAAACACATTTTACATTGCGCGGGCGACACATCGAACACAATGCGACATGAAGATTTTATTAATCTCTTTAATTAATGTAATAATTTACATGTAACTTTACGGATAGTAATATTAATACTTTAGTCGATTCGTGTCTAGAACGTCCTCCAAGCACCGTGGAAATTATCGATATATGTAATAAGGTAAATACTTAACCTGATAATAGAACTCATTTTTCCTGGTATGGCATTTCAGGAAATAATCAGCTGGCCATTTGATACAGTCCAGCATGTACTCTAATTGTCCTGCTGCAAGGTACGCATCTTTATATGCGATGACGCCCCAGGCTAATACGGTTGTACTCCACGCCATCGGTAAACCAAATTTCACGTAATCACCAGCTGTAGAAACACACAAATCATGTAATGAAGTAATGTACAAGAACATTAATTGGGGATAGGTTCCAGTTTGTGGCATGTTTTTAATCATTTTTTGACATATTACAAAACCCTGTGATGTTAGCTCAACAATGGTACATGTAGTTTTTTTTCATTGAATTTTTAAGTTGAAGATGTTCTCAGTAGTTGCTACTGTAAAACTTAAGGATTTTCATTATGATTTTAGATCATGCAAATTATATATTTTCCGAGTTTCTAATTTTGCACTATGGGTAACACTTTAATAGTGTATGACAGGTGCTGAATCAACCGATTAATCAAATTATTCCACAAATAATAATATGTCACAGTAATAACATAACTTATGAACGCAATATATACGAAAAATCTGCAACTATTGTCTATTGTATTATAATCAAAAAAACAATATGCTCACAGTTTCATTGCATTTACAAAACAGCCAAATTAAAAGTGTTTACCATCTATATATTCAAATGACATCTTCAATGTGAAGCATAAGTGACGTCAAATCTGGAAATCATCTTTGTAGCGGGGGAGTCGTCACCTACTTTAGTGGCAGATGGTCATGATGGGGTGTTGTTTACAAACAAGCGTCTACCCATAAACCTTTGCGTTTGACCATGCGTTGTTATCGTCGCTTGGAACCCAATTCTTGTGTGTGCGCTTTAACATTCGAGTTTGTTCAAGAGAACCTCAAGCATAAATCTAAACGGTAAATGATTCCCCGTATACAAACACACATGTTACTGATCAGTCCGTGCTAGTCGGATGTTTTTTTAAGACGTGGAGTTTAAACAGATCACTAGGCAGATAAGTGAAATGAATAAATGATAATAAATGACTGGTAGCCTGAAGAAATTTGTTTTGCAAAAAATAGACGGATTGACATGTACTGCATTTTGTCACGAAAAAACTTTAATTCTTTCTCGATAACCCACCAAGCCTGTCCATTGATTGATAACTGGTACACTGTTAATATAAGTCGCGCCCTCTTACGACAAGCGGTACTGTGACGTAACTGAATGTAAGAGATTGCATTTTTATTGTCGATGTTTATTTGAACGGCATTTCCTAAACCCAGACATTGCGTCATTTTGTTGTCACGGAAACGCCTCGTCGCTAAAGAGTCCGACTTATTGAAAAGGAGTAGCAGAGGATGATTAATCAAAGATTGGTCGCACGCCCACGAGCTCCACAATGCAACGTCAACTAGCTTTCCATTAACATTAACCATATTACACCACTCACCGTCGTACCATCCACCTGATAAGTCATGCCCATCATGTGACTTGTCATTGATGCATGAGTCACCGCGCCAAGATATACGATTAGTTAGTGGTAACACTCCTGACCTCTGAGCTTCGTAGAACAATATCGACTTCGCAAGAACTTCGTCATAGTCATAGGCACTTGCTGTTTCTATGTATAATAACAAAGACTATGTGACTCTGTTGTATATTTTCTAATACAAGCATTAAAGTTACCAGATCTTAAAATATTAATATTAGTATATGCTGTATCGTACTGTAGCAAAAACGCATGTTGTACCTACTTTTAAGTACTTTGTATGCTCCAATTTTCAAGTAAGGCGGGATTCGTATGGAACACACACCGTCATCGTGACCTTTCACCACACTGTCGTCACACGCCCGTGCATCTTCTCTCCGTAGGTTGCATTCTTTAGGATTGAATGTGACATGCGAAGTTTCTTTGCGCCGCCCCGATTCACATATTTCTTCACACGGCGTTCGTCGAACACCGCTCGCCGATGGGGCGGTACTTTTTATTTCGCGCCTACTTGACTCGTCCAAGACCAATCCTTGCAAGTTCAATTTTCCAATTGGTTTAGCAGTAGCACGTGATTCCATACTGAGCACTAATTGGTGATCGGTGCCAGACGAGCACAGCTCTGTAAAGGGTGGTGTTCTTGAAACTAGGAATTCAGACTGGAAATCCTTTGAACAAACAGAATAAGTAAACAAGCAGTTTATCTCTTTACTAATTCATGTACAGCGCGACACACACGTGCGGAAATTATCTCCCATTGCAAATTAACCCCGGAGAGGTCTTATACCCGTTACCAAATACATGTGTTTTCTACAATGATAAATAATAATAAATAAAACAATGAGGGGAAGGGGGATATGCGCCCCAAACATATAATCAAAACAACAAAATGATATCTGGCTTCTGTCATGACGAAAATTAATCATAACTTCAACTTATCGGAATCAAATTCCAGTAAAGCAGGAGCGGTTTCACAACACACACTGATCGAACCGATTTAAAATCCCATCATGATCATAAAGGTAAGTTTACCCGGTCTTTGTGGACACCAGAAAAATACATTTAATTGCTATATTTTTTTTTTATTTTTTTTAACAATTTTTTTTTTATTCTGAAATACAGAAAAAAAATACAGAGCAGATGACAAAATCCCCTCTGGGAAAAAAAAGTACATGACAAACGCTGTCTGGTATACGGTGGTGAGACATAAACAAAAACAAGATTAATTTACTCGTATTAAGCCAACCAATTATTTAAGAGCTCCCATTTACGATAGTGATATTGTTCCTTTCCTTTATATAGGGCTATTTCCAACTCTGTTTTTCTATTTTCACGGACTAGTGATTTAAACG